GACGACGACGACGACGACGACGACGACGACGATAAGGAGGACGATAAGGAGCAGGTTTGGGAAGGGAAAGGAGAGCAAGTAGGAAGAGGATCAAAGAAACAGAGAGTGGTAAGGGGACAAGTAAGATGAACTGGGTTATTTCACCATGGGATGAATAATTATGGTTATGATGAGATGAGCTGGGGAGTAAGGCTAGATTTGTTTCATCTATTTGTTTTAGGTTACAGCCGTTTAGTCTCCTTTTGCGCGATGACGAAAAAAAATTATCTATGCCTCGCAAAAATGGCAACCAAAGCGAGCTGAGTTGGCCCGCACAGCCATAATTAGTTTACTTTGGTGACGTCACAGCTGAGACCTCTTGTACTTTTATAACCTCTTTGTCCGGTGGTTACCTAATTGACTCCGAACATCTTCAAGATTTAGGATAACCAAGAAGATTTAAATGATTAAAATTACTGGTATCCTTTGATCTACGTAAAAAGGAGTCAGAACTTTTGTCCCGTAGCATTAATCATGGTTTTCAGTTCCTGAATTGATTCTTCGCCCAGCTCTAGTATTAACCAAAGAGTCTACATAACAAGAGGGTCCACTCCTCTCTTTGAGCCAATTAAAAAAGTGTCCTCAAAATTCGGAGGCGCCCTCTTCGCAAATACACACCCTTTGCGAACAGAGTTACCCTACTTGTGTTTAAAAAATCAAAGTGAAACTAACAAGTTTTTGAATAAATAAGAATTCAAATTTCGGAAGAATGCTTTTTTTTAATGGTTACGCTGACAAAAAAACCTCTTCCGGAGGAAAGGGCGACTGCTTTCTTCGTTTAATTTGACTTTAGAATGAGAGACAAGAGGTCATTAAAATATTTTTAAAAACCTAAAACTCCGCACTGAACGAACACGAACAGCTGATGAACAGCAGTCGATCTGCTCACGCAAGGAGGTGCTTTTCCTATTCTTCTTCTGGAGCCCGGAGAAACGAAAGAGAGCTTCAAAACAGACTGCAGCGCCATCTGAAGCAAAGAGCGGACTTTTGGCGGACACTTTTTTGGCTGAGTGGGCCATCTTGTTATGTACTATCTTTGTATTAACCCAGTCGAAAATGCTGGTATCGATACATCTAAAACATCATGACTATTGGCTCCTTCGCAATGTCGACAAGGCGGCATCGTGATGGCTCCTACGAGGTGCTGTTGGTAATATTCTGGTTTTGTGTCTTCATAAAGATAATAATACGCACATTCCCACCAACTCCCCTCCCCGTCCATTCCTCTCCCCCTTTCCCTCTTCCTCGTCACGCCCCCTCACGGCCAATTGCCCACTCAGAGTTGGTTAACGTCCGTCCTGAGCCAACCCTCGATGAAGCTTGGAAAGCCATCTCGGATGCAGTCTTCAACGCAGAAGTCTCTATCACAATTAAATCCGAAAACCGTTTTGTAAGTCCTAGAATTTCTTGTTGTCTGCTTGCTCGCTGTTATCGACACGGTTAAGATCCTTGAGGTGCCGAAAGTAACCATACATGGGAGTGTGAGCATGTGTGTATGTGTGTGTGGTATATGCATGCGAGGGTATGTATGTATGTATGTATGTATGTATGTATGTATGTATGTATGTATGTATGTATGTATGTATGTATGTATGTATGTAG